TCTGTTATTTTGCCTGTCTAAAACACGTGATGGTCTAATAAAGAACAGCGCAGCCGGTAACAAGGCAAGAGAAAGGACAGGCGGGGCTGGCAGGCAGAGAGGACAAATAGAAGGAGAAATCTGGGAGGAGAGGAGAAGCAGCCAGAGAAGGAGGAGGACCCAGGGCCCAGCCACTCAGCTACACAGCCAGCCACAGAGTAAGAGTAAGGTTTACAGAAGTAAGAGAACGGGGAAAAGCCCAGAGACAAAAGGTAGCTGGGATAAGTTAAGAAAAGCTGGCAAGGAACAAGCCAAGCATTTATAAGGTCAGGAACAAGGAATAAGGCGAGGCATTTATAATTAGGAAAAAGCCTCCATGTGTGATTTATTTGGAAGCTGGGTGGCGGGCCCCTCAAAAGAGCAAAAACAAACAACAACACACTCCTTCTTCCCTCCCTTGGAGGCCCCAGGAGCTCCGAAACAATGGTGAGTGGGGAATCCTGGGGCAGGCGGGCACCAACAAGCATTTTTACTACTTCCTAAGGTATCAGCAGAACCAGAGAAAAATAAAGCTAGTGGGAAGCGGGGCTGGAGAGACGGCTCAGTGGTTAAGAGCACTGACTGCTCTTCCAGAGGTCCTGAGTTCAATTCTGGCACATGATGGCTCACAACCACCAGTACTGAGATCTGGTGCCCTCTGCTGGCTTGCAAGAACGCATGCAGGCAGAACACTGTACACATGATAAATAAATCTTAAAGGAAAAAAAAAAAAAGCTACAGGGAAGGTCTGGGCCATGGGCAAGTGGGAGCTACAGCGTGATAGATTTGCTCAGAGTCTCTGGGGGTCCTCTGGGTCTGGGGTAAAATCCTTCTTTTAATTCAGTTATGATACTTTCTTTCACCCATCCCCACCCCGGACACAATGACAAATAACCAGTCACTGGAGTGAAAGCTCGAAGGTAAAGCACTTGCCCAACCCGCATCAAGCCTGACAGACGACTTGAGTTCCATCATCTGGACCCACACATAGAAAGAGAGGACCCACCTTTGACCACCACACATGTGACATGGCACACTTGTGAACACAAGCGTGCATGCACATGTACACACACACACCCAGTGAGAGAGAGAGAGAGAGAGAGAGAGAGAGAGAGAAGTAAATAAATGTCAAAATAAAGTATTTTAAATAAAACAAAAATATTCCAAAGTGACAGTGCCACCATTATATAAAAGACAATCCTCCTTAGTTGTCTGGGTTTCAGAAGTGTAATCCAAGGTTAAGGCCTCTCCTAAAGTAATGGAACGTTATCTTCCTCAACTTCCCCTATGAAGAGCAAGGATAGAACCCAGGATTTTACACATCCTAGGGCAGCAGCCCCAACCACTGAGCCACACCCCAGCCCCTCACTGGGGGATTCTAGGCAGGTGATCTACCACTGAGCCACACCCCAGCCCCTCACTGGGGGATTCTAGGCAGGGGCTCTACCACTGAGCCACACCCCAGCCCCTCACTGGGGGATTCTA